GGCTGTAGGATCCCTTCAAAGGGGACTTCTCTCATAGGCACAAAATTTTCCAGTCAAGGTGCATCCACAGGCAAACTGATTGCTCAAGATTTAAAAACCAAAGTGACCGTTTTTCCTCTATCAGTTTCCCTATAAACTTAGTTGAATATTTTTTCAAATGCAAATGTCCTGAAACTCAAAATACTGGGTAGTGTCTACCTTTTCAAACAAAAATATTTTACTTGAGGGCAATTCCTAATACCCATTTTAACACAGATAGTCATAAGGGCTAAAGGCAGGTTGCTTGTAAGCTCTCTCTAAATATAACCTCCAATATTCATTTATATCACACATTATGTCAATAAAATAGGAAGAAGTCATCAATATAATCTTAGTGTAGCCATATCCTAAACACAATTCTTAAAACACTAAAATTAAATCATTTCCTATTTGGACCATCCCATTCATATGCATATGACCTTGGACTGCTAAGAGATAGGAAGAATCCAACAGGCCTTTCCTTCTGTCAGGCATTTTGTCTAAACAGCAAGGCCTTTGCCTCAGGAAAGTTCAAGCATGTTTGTTTCTCCTCTGGGCTGCAATTAAAATCCATTACATTCTTTTGCTCCATTCCAATGCAGCTTCTAAGAATCAAAAGTTTCACTTCCTTTGCCCTTTCCAGAAACCGAATGAGTAAACCACGTGGCCATAGCTGACTTTCTCTGGTTATCTAATGGAACAGGGAAAATCCAAAGCCACTTATTAAGACAGAGCTCGGACAAGCCTCCACTCTCCATCTTCATCATTTGTCTCTTTAGCACCCCACTCCTGGTGCCAACTTGTGTTAGGTTTGGTTGTCTAGAGAAACAATACCGATGACACTCAGGTAAGTATAGAAAGGAACTTCATATCAAGACATAATTTTATATCCAGAAAGCCAGTCCAATCCAACATGTCATCATTGGTCTGATGTTAACCAGAAGCCTTCTTCAGACTCACTTAGCTGCAGGCTGATGATGCATAAAGGGGGAAAAGGGTGCAGGGAGATGACAGCCAGTGGACAGAGCAGCATGGATCCAAGATCAGTAGAAACACGGCAGGGCATAGTCAGCTCCAGGGTCAAAGAGTAGCCCATGTGGGGCCATCACCAGAGGTAGACAGAATTGCAGCAAGGATGAAGCTAGAGGACACCAAGAGAGGGTCCCCAGGGTCTCTCTTATAAAAAGGTCACCCATCCCAGGAGGCATCATCAGTCTGTGATCTGTCAGTTTAGACTTCAGTCCTAAACGAGTGCAAGTTGAAATGAACTCTAACTGCCACGGCAGGAGAGACCTATCCCTGGCGAAGGACATCATGCTTGCTAAAGTGGAAAGGTGTCAGAAAAGAGGGAGGCCCTTGATTAGATGGATTGACACAATTGCTCCAGCAATCAGCTTAAACATAAGAACCGTTGTGAGGATGGCATAGGACGGGTGTCGTTTCATTCTGTTGTAGACAGACAGGATCTCTATGAACCTGAAACAACTCAGTGGCACCCAACAACGGCTGCTCCATTTTTGTGGCTGTTGTGCCAATGTTTCCTGATAATGGTTTTGCTTCTGCCCCTTCTACTTATTAAACATTATGGTTTTTTTCCCCTAAAAATGTTGCTTTCTTGATCACATGTCCTACGCAGTTCAGGTCTTACCATCCTAGCTTTTAAGGCAGCTTTTCTTAGTGCTACTGAGAGCTATGTTCCTCTCCTTCTAGGTCCACAGGAGACTGAGGGTTCTGGTCCAATGATTATTGGGAAAGAAAGAGTGATGTGTCACTCCAAGGATGGACTACCTATTGCTAGTGTGAGACTCTGGAGTTCTACCTATTGTCTACTCTTTGGGCAAGACAAGGAAGCATTGTAAGTTTGGAGTGTTGTGGACCATAGTGACAGGGACATAGAGTAGAACCCTCGGTTGACCTGTGATAAAGAGGTAATATGAGTGAAAATGAACCCTGTAATTTAAACCACTGAGAACTAGGATTGTCTGTGCAGTGATTCATTGAAGTTACCAATGTGTAACAATATTTATCAAAATGTTGAATTATGAGATGGGTAATAGGATACAATGACTCCTGTTCTATCCAAAGTCTATGGAAAATGTAAAGATGCAGAAACCAACTAGCTGATAAAGGTAATAATGAATCTGGAGGAGGGATGAGTGAATATGGCCACCAGACAAAAAGCATGAAAAGATCTCAGCAACGACAGGAGAGGTTCCACTAGGAGGGATATTTTACACTTCCTAAAACAGAGAATATCAATTTAAAAGAAGACCTGAGTTTCTTAAGCACCAGTACCTGATGACAGACACCCTTTTACCATTGACTAGCAGCATGATCCACTTGTGAGCCCCAAACCTCCCTGATGCAGCTGATATTTCCAAGACCCTGAGGCGACCCAGCCAGACATGCCTCTTATCTTGCTGTCCTCTGGATCCCCTTCTTGGATAGCAGCTCAGATGTGCCGCTTGGTACAGACATTCTCAAACCCCACGTTGTACTATTGGCCAATTTTTCCCTTCCTTCTTCTTGATTACTTTGTTCTTCAGTGATACACACACCCTCATTATGACCCGCCCCCGCCACACACACACAGGCACATATGTACACAAAATACTACTACCAAATGAGTAATAATCCCCACCCACATGGTGTTCTTACATTTCACTTTCTTGATTTTGGTTTTATACTTTTATGGTATTATAATCCTTTTATTTTTTCTAGTTTTCTCATACTTTCTCTTTCAGTACACCTAAGACTTCCTGAGACTATGAGTATGCACCCACCAAGGGAAAAAAAATTTCTGCCATATAGATTCTAGGACACTTGTCCAAACAAGGTGTTTTATTTTCTTCTTACTTGCTACAACTGCCAATGACCACAAAGCACACTTGGAATACACCAAGGTATTTGGAAAGATATTAAAAAATTGCAGTATGTCCAAGAACCACTCTTTCTATTGCATTCTTTCTTATTCCAGCTTCAATGAAATCCAGGTTATCAAATTATATAGTCACTTTTTAGTCTATGAAAGACAGTAGCAGTATTACACAGTAAGCGGTCAATAAATGTCTGATTATAAATAATAATGATGCTAATTGGAAGTAATTTTAAAACAATGCCACACCATGTTTTCTTAGCCTCATGATATGGTTTTATCTTAATTCAATGAAATAATTATTCTGAGAAGATAGATTAAAGTCTTCTAGTTTACCAGATAGTACAGTATCACACTAACTGGGTAGCTGGTATTTTTAAAAGCACAGTTTAATCCAGTGCTGAAGAGTTCATGGCAGAATACATCTATGCTCCATGGGGTTTCAGTACCAGATTGTTTGTTTTTTTCACAAGTAGATGGTCAGGCTTTTCTTCTGAGGTACCTCTGGGTGGACTCAAATCTCAATCTTTTGGTTAGCATCCAAGTGTGTTAACGGTTTAACCAACCAGGGATGCCTTAAATCATTTAAAGTAATTCCCAAAAAGCAGAAGACACAACTGAAAGTGACTGACAAATACCATTCTTTATAATATAGTTGGGATCATATGAGAATGTCTTAATAAGCAAAGCAAATAAGAGTCATATTTTTGGTTTCAGATTTTATTTTCATAAGTATATTCCATTAGACCAAATAATCTGCATTTCTATAATATTTAATATTCTACTCATCAAAGAACTGGAAAAAATTGGGATAAAGCACAGATTTCATACACAAATACCATATTCTGGATATGTACAAATAAATTTAATATATTATTTTGTAGACCAACTTCACTTACAATATAAGAGAACACCAAATATTAGCTTCTGAGCATTTTCATGCAGACTTCCACTGTGCTCAAAGTGATGATGCTAGAGTTCTAGAAAACATTTTTTTTCCTGTTGTCAACATCAAGCTTCTATTTTCTCCAGATGAGGTGAAAAGTAAAATGCAATAAAGGTGTAAAATGTACTTTTCACAATATACAACGTAGAATAACCCTGCCTTCAAAGAAATAACCATACAAGTACTACGTATCACTTCTTAAATTTGGGCCAGGTGGGTACAAGAGCTGTACCCGTGTTAAACTCAGCAAGTTTTTTAAGACCCCATTACATTACTACTACAGAATGCAATGATTATTTTTAAGTTTCCAGTATGTAAACAAAGAATAAAACTAGAAAAAAAAAAGATCGAAACTGTGATAGATAACATGATTTATGAACAGATGATCTGAAACATCCTTCAAACACAGCCAAAATTTGTTTAAGCAGATTATTAATTAGCTCAAGTGAGCACTTACAAGATTGCAGAAGTTCCTGATAGGTCCTACAGAGTACAGCTACAATGATGGAATGAATCTCTGAAACATTAACATGTCTCGAGACACAAAGGCTTAAATACAGCTTTATTCAGATTGTTCAGAATTCATCGCAATGCAGTTATTGAAAATGAGTTGTTACTAGAAGAACTATGAAAATAATGTAAGCAATTAAAACATTAAATTAGTATTTTGTTTCATACCTTCAATAAAATGTTCTCCATCCAAGCATACCTGCCAAATGGGGCTGTGAGATGATCTAAACACACGCACATGACCAATTTTGACTAAAACCACTTACAATAATTGAGATCGTGTGCTTCAGTTGTCTAGCAAAACTAAGTAAGCACTCTCAAATGAGGTGTACGGAGTGCAGCCAAGCAGAGCATAAGGAAGCTGGAAATGACGCGGGGGAGCATCTTCCTGCAGGAATGCACACTGCTGGTGTCTGGGGTCTCTTTCCAAGAACAGATCACAAGATGGCTCTAAGCCACAAAGGCTGAGAAAGGAATCCTTCAGAAACATCAGTTTCTGAGATTATTAACATCATTAGCAGCAGTGTATTAAATATATGACTTTCAAAAACAATGTTTTCTTCACATCTAAATATCTATAGTATATAGCATTCCCAAGTCAAAGATACAGTTATGTATAAGAGTGAGCAACACTAAATAAACCAGAAATTATTTTGGAAGAAAGAAATTTATTTATCAGGATTAATGAAAACATTTACTGTTCCATAGAATGCATAGCTTCTACTTAGTTAGTTTTGAGTTGAGTTTGAGAAGTGTCACTTTGTTTTGCTAAATGGAAACAACACCCTAAATTGAAACATTTTTCTGTTGATTCTTGGAGCTGTCTTAGCAAACATCACAAAAAGAAAAAAACTGCTTCCTTGCTAGCAGATGTCGGGTGACTTGGGGGAAAGCAGCAATAAATACAGTCTTCATGAAGAATGGAATTCCCAAAGTTCCAAGTTCATGGAAGAGCATATCCGAATTTTTCTTTTCTTTTTTCCGAGTAAAATGCTAGCACAGTCCTCCTGAATACTCATCATCCTCTTCCTCCGTGGCTGCGGTGCCATCAGGCTGGGCCTGTGGTGTGGCTGGTGACTTCTTCTTGACTCCCCCTCCTGGGACCACCAAACTCAGGCCCAGTTTCGCATACTGCCAATGAGGAGACATGTTCTTAAAAGGGGGTTATGGGAGTATGTTGATCAGATTCAGAGACAACAACAATTATCTGTGAAAACACAGATTCTAGGCCTCTCTAAATGAAAGGCAATATTGCGATTCAGATGAAAGACAATTTACATTGCTCTGCTGTCAGACAACTTCTAACCCTGACATGAGACAGGAACCAGCCAGTCACAGTGTCAACTCTACGGAGCAACTGGGAAGTGAGATAACCTAGACGTGTTATGCTATACTTGTAGCACTGTTAGAACAAAGGTCTGTTGGGTTCATGTAAATGTTGCGTGAACTAGGGATAACTTTTTCAGAAGAATAAATTTATAAAAGCCTTTGTATGCAGGAAAAAAATATTCCCTCTACATACATCTTTATAAAAAAACTCATCAGCTGCCAAGATGAGACTTTAAAACAAACACCAATCAATAAGTGCTCACAAATAAATAAAAAAGCAACCATAAAAATGTGGCATCATGTGACACTCTTTCTCACACACTGGCTGATCGACTCTTCAGAACCATGCTCAAAGATAGGTGACCTCAGCTCCACTTTTACAGGGAAGTCGACGGGGCTTGAGATATTTAATAACCTGTCAGGTAGCTAGTTGTCACAAAAACGGATTCTAACAAGTCTATTTCATTCTTCAGAGAGTGAGCCTCAAAGAAATTTCATACACTAAGTTACTGGTTAGTTGAGAACCTATTGAACCTACAAAGGACAACAAATAAAATGAGCAGCTGAGAAATTGAACATGAGCTGCATTTGAAAGTATGCACACAGTTAACCCAGCTCAATGGATAGATAATGGTTGTTAACCCACATGGTTGCATCCCAATAGCCTAAGTCCATGGCAGAAATGCAGTGTAAGAAATGATTTCTTTTTAAGTAAAGCTGAACATAAGGAACAGGCAGAAAAAAATCACAAATACCAAGGAAAAAAATAATCTTACTAGAAAGCCTCTTCATTTCAGAACTAAGAAAACTAACCCAAAAGGCCAACTTACATCATTGTCCATGTACTTAAAAAGCGGAGAGTTGCAGACCTCTGACACTTGATCTTGATCTTGCTGGTCATACCCTTCGAGAAGTTGTTCTAGCGCAGCACAGTCTTCACTTCCGTTGAACCCTGGTATGCTATAAGAAACATAATTCATGTCTTTTCATCTTTTTCCTAGAAGAATGGCTCAAATTAGGGCTGATCTTGACTTTGAAGGGAATGTTTGGCAACAGCTAGAGACATTTCTGACTTTTGAGTGTGATGGGGTCCTACTGACAGTGAGTGAGTGGGTAGATGCTTGGAACACTGTTATACACCTCACAGGCACAGGATAGCCCTGCACAACAAAGTCAGCACAAAGGACAATAAATTAAAATCGTTTTAACCATTTGGTACAAGAGTATCATTCACTCTGATCTTCCTCCAACATACAAAACTTTTTTGTTGCTCTATTTTCCTTAGAAAGCAAGTAATAAAATCATCAGTCATTCACCCATTAAAGTTCATACCCCCACACCCACCAAATATAGAACAGTAGAATTAAGTAGCGAGAATTTCATGGTAAAAGCTAAAATATTAGCCAAGTGCTTCCATTGCTATGACTACTGGGGGAGGGGGGCGCGTTTCATAGGCAGGAACATTTGACTAACTAACAATCTTAGTTTTAAAAACAGAAATGCTAATTGGTAAGTCAGATAAACTAGCTAAATGTCTTACCTATAGCTCTCCCTGACACATCTTTCTGCAGCCACGTAGTCATTTCTGTGTAGATGAACTAGGACTTGAGCAATTGTTTTCTAAAACAAAAGATGCAATTATGGTCCAAATTTTTATCTCTGTAATAAAGTCCATTTCCTGGCAATAATGAAAGTGTCTAGAATTTAGCACTCAGGTATTGGTCTGTACAGAGACTGATGACGTATGCAGGACACTGGAGGGAAACTATCATAGAAGAGTACTTCTTAAACCCTAATGTGCACACACTCGTCCTGGGACCTTCAGTGTAGTGGACCTGGGGCGAGCCCAAGCCCACCACTTTTAAGAAGCTTCCAGGTGGTACTGATACTGCTAGTTTTAGGACCACATTTTAAGTAAGAAAGCCTTAGAAAACATATACCAGAACTTAAAAACAATTTCTTTTTCATCTGAATTTGGATTTCACCTTCGAAAGGAACTAAGAGAGAGGGGCAGGGAAGGCCTTAATCCTACAATTAAACATTGGATTTTGTAAAGAGACGATAGAAATAATGATACCATTTATACATCAATAAGAACAGCAATAATAAGATCAAGGATATTATAGATTGAATCTTTCCTTTCATACTGTATGAGGTAGTTATAATAGATGCTTTCAAGTCCTTGTCTACTAATTCCAACACTGGGCCACCTCATGCTGTCTTTTAAGACAGGCAAATTGTCCTGGTTCTTTCTATGTCCAGTGATTTTGAATCACAAAAGCCTGGACATTTGAAAATGTTATACTAAAGAGGCTCTCCTGTGATTCTCAGAATACTATGCTTTTGTTTTAGTTGGCACTCGGTTATCCTAACTCGGTTCAGGCTGCATGTCTGCTCTTACGATTCTAAGTAGTGATTCTAATCCTAGGTCAAAGTCATGGAATGCTGATTGGGCCTGGTCCACAGAAAGACTTGAGACGTGGTTTAAATCTTACTTAAATTCTCAAAAATCTATATCCTATTTGGGTGCTTGTCCTATCGGGGGGGTGGTCTGGGACTTGGGTGGGGTTTTAAAATCTTTCAGTTCTCAAAGCCTTTACTATGGTTTGAGTGGACTCTGATTTCAAGACCTACATGGATCGACAAATGTAGGGGTCTCCTTTGCTATTTCCGCCTTTCTGAGACTTTTCTCTTGTTTTCTCCGCTCTCTCCTAGTTCCTCTAGCCCAGTGATTTGTAACCTTCCTAATGCCGCGACCCGTTAATACAGTTCTTCATGTTGTGGTGACCCTCTAACCCTTAAATTATTTTGGTTGCTACTTCATCAGTGTAATTTTGCTACTGTTATGAATCGGGTGACCCCTGTGAAAGGTTCCTTTCACCTCCAAAGGGGTTGGGCGCCACAGATTGAGAACCGCTGCTCTAGCCCAAAAGACTAGATTTCTTTTGGAGTTCTCGCTCCGTAGATGTGGTCTATTACGACCACAGTTCAACAAAACTAAGGTCTATCCTGGGAATAAAGCCATAAGACCCAAAAAAGAGTGTGTGTGTGCCCAGTTCCTCTGGTTAAAAAGATGGCGCTTCTTTGGAGCTGTAGTGGCTAGGGTCTACTGCCTAGCACTGTAATTGGAGGTTTTTGTGAAGGTAATAGTGCTTAAAAGAAGTTTCTCCGACTGTTCAGTCTCCTCCACATATCACCTATTTTTATGACTTGCCCGAATTCCCTGGTAGTTGTAACCCACAGCAGAGAGAAAAGCTGTAAACTTTTCCCCACATGGCAGCCAGAAGATACCCAAAAAGTAGAAAAATATACAAACACACAGAATCTTCTCATAGGTATCTACTTATACTAATAAGAAAAATTATGAAGAATTATCTAACATAAAGCTAAAAATGAAACTTTTGAAGAATACCTTATAACAAGTTGGGTAATTCTCAATTTCTTTATAAATATTTTTTTCTTTCTGAATAGAGTGTGCCGCCTCATCAAACCTAAGAACAAAATAAAGACATTTAAAAACCAAAGCAGACCTCAATAGTTGACAGTCGTAATGTACTCAGTATTACAGAGTTGAAGGAACAACTGCTCCAAACAACAGTAAGTTCAAAGCAGGTGCAAACGAAGCCTTGACATCCTTGCCTCTAAGAAACACTCGCTCTGGCCGTTCTTCTTCCAAGACAGAATTGCTTAGGGGTGAATTAGTCAATATTGCACTAGCATGGCCTGAGAATGATGTTACAATATCCAAACGGCTCTTGGCAGGAAAAAAAGGTTTTCCACCTTGCTGCAGAGACATGCTCCCATCGGCCTGAGAAAAGCAGCAAATCACCAGTGCTATGAGCCACAGGACAAGGGCGGGCAGGAAGTAGTTAGAAGCTGAGGGTGAAGCCTGGACAACAAGTAGCCAGAAAACAGGGACCTCCAAAATACAGTTACAAGGAACTGGATTCTACCACTCTACCAACACCAGTGAGATTAGAGAGGATGATCCTGACCCTGTGATTTTAGCATGATGAGATCCGGAGCAAAGAGCTCTGTTCTGTTGTGCCTGGGCTCCTTTGAGATAATAAATGGGGGCCTTTTTAAGCTGATGGGCTTATGGTAATTTGTTAAGGAAAAATAGCAAACTAATACAATGGGGGCAGGTCACATGAATCAGTATCATTTATTATTGCAGCCATGAGCTTACAACAGAACATGTACTATAAAACATGATAAACCAGAACATTCTATGAATATAATCTGCATATCATGATTCTAGTATGAATCACAGTATTGCAAACTTAAAAAATGAAATTGAAAAAGTTTCATTTTTCCACACATTATTTCCTGGGCATAAAATTAGCACTTCCATGTGCTAAACGCTACCTAGCAAAAAGTCATCCAAGAGAAGAAATATTGTGCACTTAAATGGGTTTGGCGCTTTGCTTCTTTTAAAATTAAACCAGGAAGACAGACAGTATGGAGCAGTTCTGCTGCTCAGCACAAACGGTCACCTGAGTCTGGAGACACGCAACAGCATCAGGCGAAGGACGTAAAAACGTTGATGAACTTTGCTGAAGTCTATGAACCGGTATAAAAAGTCTTTTTCAAAGGACTCTAGGAAATGATTCATTACTTATCATAATGAAACATAGATGACTTCAACTTTCGCATCATTCATCTCTAAATAATCCTAACAAAGAAAATGTATCTGGTTTTGTGGGAAAGAATAAATTGTTTTTCTTCTTATATTTCAAAAAAGAATTAGCCTCAGATAAAACAACATGTAAACTCCACACAAATTATATGGACATGAAAACACATCACGTATTCCCAGCGTTCCCTCCTGACACCTTCCTCACAATGATACAAAACTCATCCTCTGGTTCCAACTATCTTCTGAACTCTAATATATACTTTCAATATGATAAACAGCTTTCTATATCCCTCACCTCGGCTATTAATGGATTCTCAATAAGCAGGACACCGTTACCCAAGACAGAAACCTAATGATTATCTTCAGTCACCATACCCAGCTTCAACCACCAAATATATACACCCATTTCTCCTTGTATTTAGGTTCTGGAGAAATCTCAATCAATGTTCAGGGGAGAAGTATATCTCATTGCCGAATCTTAAAACTGAAGAGAGGGCTTAGCTATATATAAGAGTCACTTCCTTTTTAAGAAACACAGCAAAGCTCTGGGAAAGATGGATTTGTGTTTATGGAGAGTTAACCACAAGGTGTCCAACATGCCCAGTTACTTCAAATCTTCCCTATAAGAAACCAGAAGAAACCACATATTCCCAATAGGTCACGATCAACTTATAGAAAAGGCATTTTCTAAAAGTGAGGAAGGGTACTGGGCCAGGACCAATTTTAAGGTCCTTTTACCTAGAGGAGGCCTGGCAGTGTAGTGAATTATGTATGGGGCTGCTAGCCAAGAGTAACAATTTGAAACCAGCTGACCCTTCAAAAGAGGAGGCTTTCTACTCCTGTAAAGAGTTACAGTCTCAGAAACCTATAGGGGCAGTTCCACCGAGTTCAATAAAGTCTATGAGTTGGAACGGACTCAATGGCAGTGAGTTTGCAGTTTTTTTGAGTTTGTCTTAAAACACGCAGCCATCTACATGAGGTTTGGGCCAAGTCCACACAGCAGCACTGCCTGTGTGATCCAAGAATTGTAAATAATAAAATCCAAAACTGGAGGAGGGGACATTAGAGCTTAAATTAGAGCTTAAATTCTGAGCATTCAGTTTGCAAAAGGTTATGGAGACAGTGAAAGCAGGGAATGCATGTGTAGGGTCCCAATGTGGATTACGCCTCCAGTGACCACTGACCAGTGATTTGAATAGCCGTACTACCAGACAGAGTGCACTGGAAAGAGGACTAGTGCACATGAAGTTCCGTTAAAATGAAACACGATATTATTTTCCCTCCCCTTTTAAATTTGTTCTACTTTTATTATTTTCATATGCATTTTAATGGAGGTTTTTCTGTTTTTTTATTTTATTTTGTTATATATAGATATATACTTTGGTTTGTTTTTATGTTTTTCCTATTATGAAATCCAAGATAGGTAAATCCATAGTGACAGTAACTGGATGAACAGTTTCTTAGGATTATGGCAGGGGTGGCTTGGGGAAAAGGAAGAGTGAATTATTATGGGTACAAGAAAGAAGAAAAGGTTCTAAAATTGTGCTGAAGAGTGATTGTATAACACTTTTTAAAATGTTTAAGCCACTGAATTGTATGATATGTGATTTATGTCAGTAAGATTGTTAAAATTGTTTAAATATTTAAGATTTAGAACTTCGGAACCCCCTAAGGGCAGTTCTATTCTGCCCTAAAATGTCGCCGAGTCAGAATTAACCCAATGGCAGTGAGAGAGTCTATCTAAATGAAGTTGTGAATCATTTATGAATTCTGGTTCTCCAGAAATGAAGGAAAAGTATAAGACTAATATAAAGAGCCCCAATCAGAGCCCCAACAGTGGGTACGCCTTGGTTGCTGCTAAAACTGTTTGCGGTTTGAACTCACCCAGTTGCTCTGTAAGAGAGAGACCTAATGATGTGCTCTTGGAAAGAGTACGGCCTTGAGGCTGTTCAATGTCACCTGGGGGACACTAGGAATTGAAAACCGACTCAGCCAAATGTAACCATGTCAACAATATAACACATGGATCAATTAATCTAGTTATTCTACGCCACAACCTCCACCATTCACCTGTCATTCTGCGGTGGTTTGCATGATACTATGATGAGTAAAACCATGCCACCTGTATTTTAAACAGCATCAGGGTTACCCACACTGGACCGATTTCAGCAGAGCTTCTGGACTAGGACAGATTAGTACGAAGCATTGGATAATTTCTGAGAAATTGGCTGGTGAAAATCTTACTAAGAACAGTCAAACATTGTCTTATGTATTGCTGGACGGTGAGCTCCTTGGGTCAGAAGGCACTTAAAATATATCTGGGGAAGAGCTGCCTCATCAAGGTAGAGTTGACCCTTTCAAGATTGATTGCCTTATAGGGACAGTAAGTAGAATCAGGTTTTCTGGAGGCAGGGGGTACAGTGGTGGTGGTTAGGGGCTCAAAGGGAGATGTCGCCAAGGAGTCCAGAAAGAAAAAGAACATTTAGAAACGGATTGTGGTAGCAGTCGTACAATTCTGCTTGAAGTGACTGATCTATGGAATGATAAATGTATTAACTCCCAATTGAAAAAAAAAAAAAAAAGAGGTGACCTTAATGCCACAGATGGAGTAAAGCTTTGAAACTTCCATTTGCTTGTGGCATGACTCAAAATTCGAAGGAATGATGGCAAATATGTACTAGTGACTGGAACATGGAAAAGTACAAGTTTAATTCTAAGACAGTTGTCAAAACTGAAGTAGAATAAAGATATTTGTGGTGAAGTAAAATTATTTTATATGACTCTTCTAGCCACAGTCTTCGTATTTCCAACTCCATAATTGGAGGAACTCTGCAAATAGGATATATGACATTCTAGTCCTCCTGCTGGGTTTCAAATGGGGTCTCCCTCCATCAACAAAGCTGTTGGACTGATTTCAATTCATAGTGATCCTATTCACACAGCACCAGAATAAATGATTCTATAAAAAAATTAAGAAAACATCTTTCTCTGACCATTTTTACTGATAAAAGCACTTTGTACAATATATGTTTAAATGCACATGCTGGGTGGCACAAAGGCACCATGGAAGGCAGGCCTGGATATCTGTTTCTGTAAAGATTTACAGACAAGACAACCCTACAGAGCAGTTACACACAGGCTCATCCTGAGCTAGAAATGACTGTCTGGGAATGTTTTGCTTTGGTTTATTGTTTAGTAGAAGGTAGTTTTAGGCAGTTTTTCTACTTAGTAGCCTGATCTGTTTATAGTTTACACCAAAAAAAGTTAATAAACGGGCCCCCCCAATTACTTAAGTTTCCAACATACACATAAACACAATTTTAGCTGACTTACCTGCGCCCTCGGACTAGCAATCTTGAGGCTTTCCCTAGTAATTCAACTGCCTGGCGTAAGCGTTCCTCATTCTGAAGGAATCAAAGGAAAGTGGTCATTGGCTACTTTAATGTGAAAAGCTCTTAAGAACAGAATTCAGTTGTGAGGAGTAAGAAGTTTTAAAAAGTAGCTACCACATTTCACGCTCTTTTCTAGTATACACTTCACAAACATTCTTATAAAAGAAGAAAATTCAAACTTACTTCAAATACATTAGCTGTTTGTTGATACAATTGTACAGCCTTTTCTGGATCTACATTTTCTATAAGCCTGAAGTAGAAAAATATGACTTATATAAGAAATAGGAACTTGTGTTCCAATGGATTTTGTTAAGATAAAAATACGACTTCCATCAGAGCACGTGGTCTGACACAGGCTCCACGTACTCACTTCCCGGCTCGTTCTAGTGCCATGGCTGCTGTGTCGGGGGTGCCGTTTTCCAAGTACATCATGCTAGCTTTCTCAATCAGCTGAACGGCTTCTGGGAGTCTCTGCATCTCCTTTTGGCAAAGAATAATATAGCACAAACCAGAAAATGGGTAACTTTAAGGATTATAAAGTAAATGATCTGAAATTCAATAATTGTATCCCTAATTCATGAACGTAAATGACACATATTTTGTTGTCATTAGCTACTGTGTAATCAGCTTCCATCTCATAGCAACACTGGGCTCACCAGAACACAGCACTGCTCTGAGCCATTCTCCACTCTCAGTTATTATCAGACCATGTGGTCCATGCGTAGGGTCTCAAATAGCTGATTTTGGGAAGTAAATTTCCAGGCCTTTCTTCCTTGTCTTAGTCTGGTAGCACTACTGAAACCTGTACTGCATCATAGCAACATGGCAGTCTCTACTAACAGATGATGGTAGCTGCTGTTAAGTGTGTACTGGCTGAGAAACTTGGGTTTCCTTCATAGAAGGCAAAAATCCTCCCTGTACCCCCTCTAAATGCTATAAACAACCAATATATCTAAAATGAGATACCATGACATGGTCACTAGGCCAATCAAATTTCATTTAACTGAACCAAAATTATACCAGTTAATTTCTACATATTTCATCATTACTTCAGTTTTAGGAAAACTATATGAAAACGCCAACAAAAACATAGATAACCTTGTTTTTTACTATTTCCTAAGCATTTGATTTCTTTAAACATTCACAGAGTCCCAAATGCACGCAGATCCTTATAGAAATAGACTGCTGTTATCTCCAGCAGGGAGGTTCACATTGCTAGCACTTTAGTTAGTGTGCAGTACTTTGTCACAGCACCGCCAGGGTTCCTAAGATATACGAAGCTTACACAGCAGACTACAAACTGGTAGCCCAAGGCTGTATCTCATTTCCATGTGCATTTTGCTTAAACATAGTTTTGTAAAATCAAAAATTCTGTTTTATGGTCTCCTTGGAAAATACCAAGTTATGGTGGTAGTAGGCTCACATTCCCACATGGCAGCAATGAACTGGGACTGAGCAGCAGTTGTCTCCTTTAGCTAAGGCATCCCGCTGCCTGGAGCTGGCTTCACTACTTCCTACCTCACATGCACTGCCTGCTCATTTATCCCACTTACTCCCGGCACCTGAGCTCATCCAGGTTTCAATCCTCTTCTGGGCCATCCAGAAAATATATTCAGGATCTTCTTAAGCTATTAGGTTTCGGGTACTAATGGTGCTAATATTTTCTGGTACTAGTATCTCCAAATCAAGTATTAAAAAAAATATTTTTAATCATTTAAAACATCATAGATTCCCAAACTTCTTTTGTCTACCAGTAATTTCTTTGCAAAAAAGAAATTACTCAGCGACCCTCTGGCAATTAAAAACTTTTGTAATACAACTCATACTCCAGGATAAAGTGCGGGTAGCTGAATTTGTGGCACCCATGTCGTACCAGATTTCTCTTTGGAAAACACTAATTTAAAAGACAGCCATTTTAAATAAGCTCAATAACACCTCATAGATTTTTTTCAAATATGCTGATGAAACTTCTCACTAAATTGACATATCAAAAAAAAGCTGGCCTAATTCTGCAAAAATTAAAATATAAAGTAATGATTACTTAATTGTGGTGACAATAAATCAGTGAAAGATACTTATGAAATAAATGTCATTATCCTTTACACAACTGAGTCTTGGTGGCACTGCTGGATAAGTGCTTAAGTGCTAGGCTGTTATAAACATAAGATCGGCAGGTCAAACCCACTTGCTGCTCTGCAGACGATAAGCCTAGTAGCTTCCATAAAGACCTGCACACCTGCAAATCCTATAAAGGCCCACTATGAGTTGAAATTGACTCGGTAGCGGGGGGCTATCATTTACTCAAAGAGAATGAGAACATTCATCATTTTGCCAAATTTCAGTAATAATTTTTTTTAATACACAAACTAAAAGGCAATGAAAAGAATCAGTCTAGACTATCTAAGAAGGGGAAGTAATCAAAATCAATTTCACTTATTTTAATCCTGAGGGCTGCTTTTGCAGCCTATCTCCTCCCCTAATTCACCTACTCATTAATTCAACATACACTGAACATCTACACTACACAAAACTTCTGGGAGTACAAAAGGAAGTATACACTGATTACTACTCTAAATTTTACTCTAGTATATAAAACATACAATAACCACAGTAGAAGGCAGTATTAAAGAAGTTCCACATAAGTAAAATATTTAAGATATTTACATGTCCCAACTTATCAAGTGATTATGACTAGCAAAAGCGCAACCATAATATTGCTACCTTTCCATAAAGAAGATGGGCTGCCTACTTAATTAACACCAGAAAAAAAGTTACACTATTCTCCATGTTCTTCAAGAATGGCAGAATCATGAAGCAGAATATTAAAATATGCCATTTCCAGCGCCCCGGGTGCCTTAGTAACCTACTGCTCCTCTGGGGCAAACAGACAGGAAATCACAACAGTTGTAAAATGACAAAACCCAAAATTCATGTTGCTGTTGCTATTGTTGTTAGGTGCCATCGAGTTGGTTGTGACTCACAGCACCTGTTAAGTCTGGGTGGACTAGAGAAACAAATGTTATAGACACTCATATGTGTATAAAAAGATGTATATACAAGAGCAGGTGAATAGTGAGAAAACATCCCAGCCCAGAGCAAGTTCCTAAGTCTAGTATTAGCCCATTTGTCCGATACCAACCTATAAAGTCCTCTTCAGACTCATAGAACACATGCAATGACACCAAATGCAGGAAGAGCAGTCCAGTGGGTGGAAAGTTTTGTGGATCCAGTGGCGTGGTAACCATCTCAGCACTGGCAGGGCTCTCCACGTGGCTTCCCGGCTCCAGAGGTCTGGCTCCACCAGTCTCTCTTCATGTGTCTTCTCCACAGGGCTGTCTCGCAGGGAGTGAGCCCAGAGAGAGTCTCCTGCCTCCAAGGAGGAAATAACGGAGTTCCAGAATCTTCAGGAGAAGGCTATGCCCAGAGGCCTCATTGGCTATATCCTGATTGACAGGCTAGACTCCAAGCTCACACCAAATTATGTAACTACCACTGCATCCTGATGCACAGCAGAGTAAAACACTGCCTGGTCCTGTGTCATTCTCAAAACTGTTCCAATGCTTGAGCCCACTGTTGCAGTCACAGTCTCAATCCACCTCCGTGAGGGCCTTCCTCTTTTTTGCTGCCTCTTTATTTTACCAAACATGATGTCCTTCTCCAGGGACTGGTCTATCTTGACAGCACGTCCAAAGTATATAAGGCCAAGTCTTGCCATCCTTGCCTGGAGTACTCTGGCCGTACTTCTTCCAAGACAGATCAGTTTGTGCTTCTAGCAGTCCATGGTACTTTTAATACTCTTTCCAGCACAGTTCAAATGCACCCACTCTTCTTCAGTCTTCTTCATTCAAAAATTAATGCAAGTACCAACGGACTGCTGCAAAGCTCCGTAGACAAACTGTTATTCCCTACATCTCTCTGAAGGATGAATAAGGTCTGTATGACAAATTGGAAATGTTAGCCACAGAACTAATTTTGGCCCCTGTAGGTAAAAACCCACAATATTGTTCAGGACTTTACAAAAGGCATTTAATTAAACACAAGCCCATGCCAGAAAGCAATTTCTTTTACATTTATTTCCATTAAGTTCCCATTAAGTTTATTTTTCCTTTATTCAAAATAGTGCTTTTCAAACCTCAAATTAAACAAGAAAAAGAGCCAGAATAACACCTACGAAAACTCAAGTCTTAGCATAGTCCTCAGAACCTAAAATAGCTAGCTTAGTAAGAGATTAGAGTTTCTGTAAGGCGCCCTGGTGACGCTTTCAGGTAAGCAACGGATGGCTTAATCACAAGGTTGCCAGTTCAAACTCAATATCTGTTCCACAGGAGGAGAAGAAGGCTATCTGCTTCTATCAGTATCTGTCACTTTAGAACCCTAGATCAGGTCACTAGGAGTTGGAACCGACTCAATGGCATGGGTTTAGTTTTGAGTTTAGTACTGCTGTATTAATACAGCATTTCCTCATACTAGGTACTGGGTACACCGAGTCCACAATAGTCACTTGGGAACTTGCGAGTTTTCAGACGAAACAGAGACAAGAGAAGGCATGGGCAGACCGCTGGCTTCCTTGGTTACATCAGAAATAGCAGCTGCTAGGAACTGCTGGTAATAAACTTCCATGAATAACCAAATCTAAATTCAGTTGCATATTTCAGTCAGAAATGATGTAAATAGCTATATAATTTATTATAAGCGAGCAACTAAATATTTTCCCATTAACATTTTAATTGCCATTTTCCTTAAAAATAATGAGGAAAAATCATGATGGATAAATAGTTGTTATTTCTTTAGGAGATACATAAATTTGAAATTTCTAGCTCAGTGGCTACGAAAATTCATAAACTATGAAACTATAAACTATATTTTTCAAAATGACAAAAGAAAATCTGTGTGTTAAAATTAAATGCAAACAGATACAAAATTGTGCAGAGTATAATCTCAGTTTTGCATAGGTCTAAGCAAATATACGTACACAGAAAAAGCCTAGAAGAAAATGGATATGCTAACTGTTGTTGTTAGGCACCACTGAGTTGGTCTGACCCACAGCGATCCAATGCACAACAGACTAACAACTGCCCAGTCCTCGGTCAGCTTCACAATGGTTCCTATGCTTGAGCCATTGCTGCAGCCACTGCGTCACTCCATCTTTGTTGATGGCCTTTCATCTTTTTTGTTGCTCGTCTACTTCACCAAGCATGACGGCATTCTCTAGGGACTGGTCTCTCCTAATAACATGCCCAAAGCACAGGAGATGAAGTCTCGCCATCCTTGCCTTTAAGGAGCATTCTTGGCCATACTTCTTCCAACACAAGCTGTTTATTCTTTTGGAAGTCACCTGCGATATTCTCCACCAGCACTATCATTCAAATGTATCGATTCTTTATTCTTCTTCAGACTTTCTTTTTGAAGGTCCAATTTTCATAGGCTTTAGTCTTCTTTATTAAAATGTCCAACTTTCACATGTATATGAGGAAACTGAAAATACCCTGACTTGGGTCAGGCACACCTCTAGTAACACCTCAAAGTACCCACCTTGTTTTTCAATACTTTAAAGGGGTCTTATGCAGAAGATAGACTCAATACCCTCTATTTGATCTCATGACTGCTGCTTCCATGAGTACTGAATGTGGCTCAAGCAAGATGAAATCCTATACAATTTCAATCTTCCCTCCGCTTATCATAATACCTATTGTTCCAGTTGTAAGGATTTTGGTTTTGTTTACATTGAGTTACAGCAATCCTTGAATAAGTATGGTGAGAGGATACAACCCTGATGCACACCTTTCCTGATTTTAAACCAGGGGTCCTCAAACTTTTTAAACAGGGGGCCAGTGCACTGTCCCTCAGACCTGTTGGAGGGTCAGACAATAGTTTAAAAAAAAAACAAACAAATTCCTATGCACACTGCACATACCTTATTTTGAAGTAAAAAACCAAAACGGGGCAAAAACACCCAGCGGGCCGGATAAATGTTCTTGGTGGGACCCCTGTTTTAAACCATGCAGCATTCCCTTGTTCTGTTCACACAACTGCCTCTTGATCCATGTATAAGTTCCATATAGGCACAATGAAGTGTTCTGGACTTCCCATTCTTCTCAAGACTAACTATAGTTTGTTTTGACCCACAGAGTCAAATGCTATGCCAGAGTCAATAAAACACAAGAAAACATCTTCCTGGTATTTTCTGCTTTGAGCTAAGATCCATCTGATAACAGCAATGACATCCTTTGTTCCAACTCCTCTTCTGAATTCAGCCGAACCTTTGGCAGCTTCCTGTCAACGTACTGCTGTAACTGTTGAATGATCTGCAGCAAAAGTTTATTTGCATGTGACATTAGTGAAGTTGTTTTAGGATTTGAGCATTCTGTTGGGTCACCTTTCTTTGGAATGAGTACATGTAGGGATCTCTTCCAGTACAATGAGTATATGTATGGATCTCTGACCCTGCTGGTATTTGAAAGACCAGTGACATAGCTTCTAGTATTACAGCACTGTAAAAGTCAGCACAGTATTATAAAATGACAGACAAATGGTGGGAAGATGCTAATAGCTATGAATATTTTTGCACCTTTTTAGCATTTTCTAAAGATTCTACAATGAACATACATTCACTTCTAAAATGTTAACATTACAAAAGGCATAGAAATGAAAAACAAAAACCTTGCAACAGAATAAATTGTTCAAGGTTTATAATAATTTAAAATAACTTTTATTAGAGAACAAACATCAAAATGGAAAGGGAAAATTTCTATTTCAATTGCTACTAGACATACTCTGAAACAAGTCAGTATCATATAGCAGTGAGTTAGTCTGGGTAGACTAGAGAAACAAAACTCATAAACACACATATTTTATGAGAGTGTTTTATACATTAAGTATCCCAACTTGTACATTAAGTATCCCAACCCAGTCCAGTCCAAGCCCATAAGTCCAACATTAGCCCATATGTCTGACATTGATATACAAAATCCTCCTCAAACTCACAAAACACACACAATGATGCCAAATGGAGGAGGAAAGCCGAATCAGTGAGCATGTAATCATCTCAGCACTGGCAGGGGTCTCCCGCAGCTTCTCCGGCACCTAGGGCTGCATCAGGGTAGATGCATGTGGCTTCTCCTCAGGGATGTCTCACAGGAAGTGAGCCTTGCCAGCTGAGGCAGAGAACTAGCTAAGGGAGCGCAACTGGTCTGACCATCAGGGAGCAAGAGACCAGACAGGTGAGGCTCGCCGAGCCATTTATCTCTCTGCCTTTCAATTAATCTCATGTGCTCATCAGCCAGGCTGGCACAATAAACCTTAACTATCACAAGTAGTGTGTTCTGGCTCATCAAAAGAGGGTATGAAACTCCCAACCACCTCTTAAGAACCAGAGATATTAAAAGCAGCATGGGCACATTAGTCACCTAGTCCATGTACAGAGAATTAAGAGTGAAATTAGCAAAAGTCCTCTCTCTTCACTGCCAAATGATATCTCTAATACAAGCAAAAACATCATTCTTTCTCTAACCCATTGAAAAAACATATAAACATACATTCAGTCTTCACCACATTAATATGTCCCAGTTACAATGCTATGCCCAGTTTCTACCATTCGTTTATCTTATATTTTATTTCAAAAATTCCCTATCTTAAGAAACACAGGATAACTCTATGGATCCGGTAAGCATTACGTAAGACAGGAAATCATCCGTAAGCCTCTGTTCCTTTGTGGCACTATGGGCTAGTCAGACCATGAGGTCCGTAGCTCAAACCCACCCGGATCTCTGTGAGAGAGACTAAGCTATCTGCTCCCAGGTAGATTTACTCTTGGAAATCCTATAGGGTTGCTATGCGTTGGAATCAATTTGATGGCAGTGGGTTTGGTTTATCCTTTATCGCAATTTAACTTTTATTCATTTTACATATAGAGCAGTTGTCAGACGACAACAAAATCACTGACCTTCAACATCATGCCAGCTTGCTCATAAGCTCTGCAAAGAGAACATAATGCCTGCCATTAGAACTACAAGAAATAAGGAGAAGAATAAACTTCTGACTACTTGTATGGGGTGTTATTTCCATTAAAATTAGTCCAAGAAAAACATTTTAGTTGAGATTTGTGCTACCATACAGTTTTTTTCTTCCCCCTACCCGCTACCTATTTTTGGTAATTACTCTTTAGGATCATCAGCCATTTGGGTTGAAAGGGATTTTACTTTATAAGTAGAAAATTCAGGGTCAAGAAAGGTTAAATAACTTTCTATTAGACAAACTTATATCCAATTTTTAAAATAAATAGTCCACAAAAACTGGAAAGCGTCCCACTTCTTTTCCACAGGTATTATTATCTAATAAAAAAGGGGGGGAAAGATTCTAGATTACACGATTTTTCAAAATGGTCCTGGAAACACTATACTAAGCATAACTTAAATGCTGTATTTCTTAGCTAAGGGCAATTCTGTTTCTAAGGTTCAATAGTCATGGAAGTGACTGTTTTGTTTAAAACTAGACAAAATAACTCAAGTTTACAACTTGGGAAAAATAAAACGAGCTACAGGAAACATCAACATTTAACACAAATATACAAAAACGTGGAGGATATTTACTTACTTAGCAGCATGAAAAAGACTGGATGAAAGTCACAGAGTTAAAGTTAAGGAGAAAAACACGGGAGTGAATAATTTCTAGACGTCTACCACACAAAGACAAAGTTAACCAAGTCATTGCCCAGTTGGTTCCAAAAAACAAATTCTACAAAACCAGTAAATCAAAAATTATTTCCCTGTTGATGTCTCATCTAAAACCATAAAAATACTGGCAAAACACCCTATCGTTTAAATTATTTCCATTATTAATTAATAATCTAAATAGCTTAAACAAAATGAAAGTTTATTAGAGATATGATTTACAAGTGAAATAAAATAATCCAAAGTGTCAAGTCAGTAAGTTTTAAAATGTTTTAAGAAATTTTGTTTTTTAAACTATGCATCTTATTTCAAATACCCAAGAACCAGTAAGTTTTAAACAAAATAAATGTAGAAGGTAAACAATCTCAGATAAAGAAACCACTTCTCTCTGGACTCTGACGAGAAGCCCTCCAAATCAATAAAGACCAAATAATCAAATCCCACTACAAATGCTCCTTTTTGACCTGCAGGTTTTTTCTAATCATTTTACAATAGAAAAGCATTGTAGTTTACATGCACCTTTTCTTTTTATAAGAAAAAAATATTTTGTATTGAATTCATCTAAATATTTAACTCCATTTATAAAGGTTGAAAAGGATACGCCCTGTTATTCTCATGTGCACAAGCTTCTCTCAGACAGGCATCTTTTGCTTGATCAAACTGCTTGGCATTTTTAAAAGCGACAGCTGAAACAGAACAGAGACTTTCTATTTCTATTATTTTAAAAATCTAATAAATCATTATGGAACTCTATATTATGTGTGATGTATTATTTGAAAGTATATTTATTTCAGCCAAATACTTAAATTTCTTAAAACTACAAAATACTACCTTTTATCTAAAGCAATATTCTTACAGCTTTTTTTGGGTTTTAATGCTCAATTAATACAGATTACTCCAAAGGGTATTTTTTATTGTTGCTTTAATTGTAGACTCTTGGTAAGAATTCAGTGTCATTTCCACTCAAAATCAAGAAGTCTTTCCATCAGCACCAATGTCTATAAGCTTTGAGAAACTAAGAAAGTATCATTCAAAGTAATGTTTTGCATTTCAGGCAGGGTCCATTCTACCACAGACTTCTATCAGTTTCACATTTAATAATAAAAATAATGCTTTAAAAATTATTTACAGCTAGTACATCTTTTGCCTCATTTAAAAACTGAAAACCAGTAAATATGTTTAATGTTCATAATATATCCTTCTTATTGGTACAATCTTTAAACATATGCATTAATAATGCGCTTTGTTTAAAAACAGTGCTATAAATTGTTTAGGTGTCTTTAAAAATGAGATTTTACCATCCAAAATATTAATGTATTATAGAATTATCTTCAAAGTAGAGTAATTAGGAATGGCCTTGAACTATTTTAGAAAGATTGGAAAACTTATCAAGAGCTACTTATAAGTAGGCGACAATGGCAAAAAGTATACTGCTTTAAGAAAACATTTTTTAAAAGTCATAATAACATTTGCTTTAATAAAAGGTAGAAGCAAAATATTGAAACAATTATTACCCCTGGATTTCCTCTCTAAAAAAATTTTTTTTGGTATGATTATTTTCCATAGCCCCTTAATGAAAATAAACAAAGCATGCTTTAAGGAGACAAACTGAACTGGAATGTTTGATTTTTCTTTTTAAGTTCGTGGTGCCAGATGCATAAAACTAAATGTCCTCGAGTCCTCTCATTGAGGAGACTTGTAAAAATTATGCTCCTCCACTTAGAAAGCATACCAACAGGAGGGTATCAAACAACGCTAGCGACATCTGTGCACCACCAACCGTATCCCCCTCTCTGTTGTCGTGAAAAAAGGTGCCAGGATCTATAACTCAGTCTTCAACACAAATGGACATTTGGGGTGGGTTGGGGGGTGGAAGAAAGAAAGGAGATGCAAGGGTTGAATGCATTTCTTTAAAAGCTATAAAACCTTGCAATAAAAGCAGAGCCTAAGTAGTATATGCTAAGATACAGCTATTCCACTTTTAGAGCTGGAAGGGCAAGGATATGGTCACACATACCTGCTTTTCCATATTCAGAAGCAGCACTGTCATAATCTGGCTTCCATTTTAAAAAACCGGTTTTCAGGCTAAGATGAAAGAAAAGATAGTTAAGTTGGAATTATATTTTTAAGTCAGACTCCTCCTTAAAATGACATTAAAAAATGTCATCAGGCACAAACTTTAACCTATTTTCACCCAAACTTCTTTATAAGGAAATACACCTTCCCATGGGCCCTCCCACTATCATGGAAGTGATGTCCTCTTTTTAAAATGTTAACCTGACATCTAGGTGGCGCAGTGGTTCTCAATCTGTGGTCCTTGAACCAGCCAGCAGCAGCAACACTTGAGAACTTGTTAGAAATGCGCTTTGTTGCGCTCCACCTCTGACCTACCAATGCAAAAAATCTGCTAGAGTACAGGTGCAGGCATTTAACAAGCCCCTGTGAACATTAGTAAGGAGTCCTGGTGGCGCAGTGAGTTACACACAGGACTACTAATGTCAGTGCTGGGAGTTCAAACCCTCCAGCTGTTTCTGCAGGAGAAAAATGGGGCATTCTGCTTCTGCGAAGATTACAGCCTCCGAGCAGTTCCACTCTGCCCCACAGGGTTGCTGTGAGCCAGAATAGATTGGATAGCAATGGGTTTTATGCATGCTACAGCTTGAGAATACAGTACTAGGTAAGTACAAAGACAGCTCAGACTTGCTACTATTCAAATCGAAGTTTGAAAAAAGTCTGCTGAGGGTTTATAAATTTGCTCAAAAGTCAAACCAAAAATCCGACTTGAAAAAACTTGAAGGGGCCAAGGCTGAGTTACACGCCACACCTCACTGTGCGGGCCCAAAGGGGAGGCACTTCAATCTAAGTGTTACTCTCACTCAGACAACATTTAAAGCTTGTGTGCGTGCATTAAAACATTTGACACTTAAAAAACAAACAAACAAAGACATTTGAAACTGTGGGTTTTGCACTGTATTTGCACAAAATATAACCATGGCTCCAATTTAGTGACACCAGCAGTAAAGCTAAGAGGAAAACTGTGAGAACCATTATAGAGTTAAAGTAAGAAATTGTTGCAGACTTTGAGTCAGTTCTCCACTAGTCTGCTTTGGCAGCTGAAAATAACATGGCTAAGTGGACATTATCAACCTTTGGGGGGGAGGGTGATTAAAGCTGCAAATGTAGGAAAAGGTATGAAATGGTTACCCAGGAAACAAAGAACCCAGACCACTGAAGAGTTTGCAGTTATGTTCATTTCCATAAATCAGAAAACTCGATAGTGTAGCTGAGGCAGTGGAGCAGATAGAATGGCAGCCCCTTCACAGGTTGTTCCCAACTCTGCTCTAATGCATCTCCTCACCTTCTTCATGTTTTTCATTTGGAGGATTCATGCTATTTCAAATCTTTCATTAATAAAGTTAGCCTTTGTTAGTATCTTATGTTGTTTTATTTCAAATTTACAGAATTCACATTTGCACAAAATGTAGCCACATAATTTTCTTTGTAGGAAAAGTAAATTATTGCAATTATGTCCTCATCGCCTCCTTAGGACTATAGAAGTACTGCACTCTGTGAATAGAATCTATTTCACAGGATTTCCCTGTCTAAAAAAATCGTATTGTTCAGGTCCAGCAGCTCAGAAATGTATGAAACCAACCTAAATTTCCCCAGGCAGAATAAACTCCTCCTTCTCTGTTACCAAAGCACATTTAACACTTCTTTGCTACAATCCCTATCACATGCATTATTCGATGTTTGTGTTTGCTCCCTCCCACTAGAGATCTCCCTGGGCACCTCCAGCACGAAGACCCTCCCTTCACCAGGAAGAAGTGGGGTACAAGAACGAGTAGAAGTTGTTCCACTCTGTGCCCCTGCGCATCATGAGGCTTCTCTGAATCTCTTTTCCTCTGCTGTAAAATGGGAATACTTAATAGGAAATTGTTGACGATCTCAGATTATGTACATGACTCACCTAGCAGTGGGGCTCAGAGCAAATTTCTCATTGTCCATAATGGCTAAATAATACTTTTGTTTGGAAAAAATGAATTCAGAAGTTAATTGAGGAAAAGGGGAGTGTCAAAAGGGAATGATCAAGGAGAATTCAGCTCAGTTACAGAAAGACTTGTTAGGGGCCAACTAGAGCCCTCACCAGAAATGGACAGGATTCTGCGAATAGTTGCTTCTGCTGCCCACGCCCTGCGCGGTCTCCTGGGAAATAAGGGTTCACACTGAAGCATTTTCTGTGCAAATCTGTCCACTCACTAACCCAGCCCACGGAGTCCTTCGGAGCCGGGGTTGTCTAGCTGAGTGTCTTCGGGCTGTCAGAAGGGGCGGATCGGGTGCTGCTGGCATTTAGCACGGGCAGACTAGAAGGCCGCAGTGCAGAGGCTGACAAACAAACATTGGTTTTGAGAAAAAGCAGCAAGGATTAAAGGAACCCTGCATGGCACGGTGGGCTACGAGTTGGGTCGCTAACCTCAGGGTCTGCAACTGGCACGCAACAGCCGCTCCGAGGCAGCAAGACTTGGCGCTCCTTTAAAGAGGTACAGCCTCGGAAACCAAGACGGATGGTTCGACTCCGCTCCGTAGGGTCGGAAGCGACTCGAGGCAATAGGTTCAAAGGCCGCCCGGCTGCCTCCTGCCGCGGAGAGAGCAGCAGCTCACACCGACAGGCCTCGGGGCGAGGCTGGTGGCCGACGCTGGGCTCACGGCCCGGCCCCACTCAGGGGACGCCCGGGTCCCAGGGCGGCACAACCCCCGGCCCGGTCCCCTCCCGCAACCCCGCAGCGTCCTGTGACGGGGCCGGGCGATCCGCACCCAGGGGGGAGGGAGGGAGGGAGGGCTCCTCACTCACTATTTCTCTGCTTTGGCAAGGTGCTCCAGGCCTTCGTTTATTTTTTGAGCTGCCATCTCCCAAGGCCGGTGGAGAACGCGGCGCCGGCGGGCCTCCGCC